GAGACATACTGGCTTATAGAGTTTGTGTTCAGGCTCAATCACATCAGTCACAGCAATAGTTCTTTTGACCTTGTTAGGACAATTAATTGCATAAATGACCAGAATCCCCACAATAAAGACATAAGTTCTCTGAACGTCTTCTCTCTTTCTCCTCGATGGAAATGGATCTCTTGATCGCATCAACCTGCATAGGCTCAGGAGTGTTAGAACCCAGAGAGACTCTTGAATCCTGCTGAACAAATGGACTAGCAGAGAGATGCATGCCCCTATTACTTCCAAACATTCCCAACTTCTCCTTCCTCCTTTCTGTAAGCCTTTGATCGATTCGGATACACAATTGGATAAATTCCTCAAGATCATTAGGAATATCTACTCTGGCGAGCTCATCCTTCACCTGTTCAGAAAGCCCTTGGCGGAACTGCTCTTTTGTGCTGCAGGGTTCCAAGTGGTATCTGCCATCCAACTTCTGAATTGGGCTGTATATTCAGTGACAGAGCGTCTACCCTGTCGCAGACTATGCAATTTTGCTTCAGCAGTAGCACAACGGTTGGGATCATCAAAAACCTGATTAATTGCGGTCAAAAAGGTATCAAAATTTTTCAAAATGCTATGGTTCTGCTCTATATAAGGGGAGGCCCAAGCTAGAGCTTCCCCAGTCAGAAGCCCAATAAACATTACCTTCTTTTTCTCTGAAGGAAACGCAGCAGGGTACATTTGGAAATATACACAACATTGATTAAGGAAACCCCTGTAGTGGCGGCGGTCTCCATTAAACTTAGATGGTTGGGGCATATGTGAGCTAGGATCATCTCGGTTCAGCAGTTGTCTCTGCAGAGCCTGAATCTCTCCCTGTTGCCTTTCTACTATACCTTGCAATTCAGAAACTTTTTCTTGGTAGGTAACACCAAACTCTTGCAGCTCTGAAATTTGCTGCCTGACAGGAGCCATGGCATTTGCTATAGCGGCCTCCATGTTTTGGGCCAGATTATTCTGTCACGATATAAGGTCAGGTTCAGAGACCAGTTGCTACAGCAGTTGTAAGGCTTACCTGAAACCAGCAGGATTGGTACACCAGCGGCCCACACTGGGAATGACGCAGGCTCACCTGAGGTGCAGGGTCTAAGCATCCACCGGTCTTCCCCAGAGCTCCTAATGGTGGAGATGGATTTGGCTGCATGTGAATGCCAGGTCGCAGATCTCAGGATCACCCCACCAGGGAATGAGTAGGCTGGAAACCAAAAGCGGATCAAACAGTTCAGGGATCAAACAGAAGCTGAGTCAGTCACAAGCCAAGGGTCGGTCACCAATGGTAGTAGATAGGATGAGGCAGAATCGTAGTCAGTAGCAAGCCAAAGGTCGGTAACGTAGATGAAGACAGCAGCAGGAACAGTAAGCGGGATATTGGCTGGTAAGGCACAATAATCTGGCAAGGAGGAAGTGCAGAGACATGGCTTTTATAAGGAAGTTCATGGGAGGAGCAAGGAGTTCAAGGTTCAAGAGAAATCAAGGCACAAGGCAGGATTATCCAAGAATTGTCAACGGAGCTGTCCAGCATTCCAGATAGCTCAGTGAGAAGAGACATTGCCTCCCACTGCAGAAGGACCAGTTTCGATCCCAGGCTCTGACACATGCATTACACCCACAATCTGTTGATCACTGGTGCAATGCTTTCCAAAAGAAAGTAGTAAATGCATATTTTTTTTACTGCAAAAAAATGTGCATTTTGTATTTTATTTTTTTAAAGGCGAACTTATCCTTTAATGGAGCACACACTGGAGTTTGATTTGGCTGTTCAGCACGTGCTTGTACTGAGCACCCAAGTGCTTCTGTGTGCGAGGGTAACTTGATGGAATAAAGTTTTTTTTCTCTTTGGGGCCGGCCCCTCACTCAGCAAATGCGCTTCTGCTGAGTGTTAACAAAGCCCAACACCTGAGGAGCTGCCAAATCGGTGCTTGTCACACTGCAAGGTCTTTCCCTTCCCTGCTAGTCCCTGTGGTGCTGGAGACAGGCAGGGAGGTGAGTAGGAAATAAACAGCCCAATGTTAAAAATAATGGGGCAGCACAGTGGCTAAATGGTTAGCACTTCTGCCTGGCAGTACTAGGGTTGTTGGTTCGAATCCCAACCACGGCACCATCTAGCTGGAGTTTGCATGTTCTGCCTGTGCCTGCATGGGTTTTGTCAGGAATGGACTTGCCAGTAATGGTGGGACCCACCTGCCTTGTGGGCTGCAGTACCAGGGCTGGCCAGAGGGTGCTCCCGGCAATCAGAGACTCAACCCTGCAGCCAGCCAAACACCTGAAGTTGATCATGCAGGAGTATTTAACCATTAGCCGCCCGGGCAATGGCCGTTTGGCGGCTTCAGAAGTGTCTCTCCATTCCGGGTGCACGCCATTTGGCGTGCTCCTGCACATGCGCCGTTTGCGCTAATGCAGAGCGGCGCAGCAGTGCGATCTGTCACCGGCCGTGCACCTCGGACACGGCCGATGACAGATCCAAGTACCGGCTCCCGTTTCTGGTACCATGTGACCTGCTGTGACCAATCACAGCAGGTCACATGACAGTTGTATACAATGGATGGCTTCATTCATGATGCCATCCATTGTATACTAGTGCCTAGCTGTGAATGGTCACAGCTAATCACATGCACATGTCATGTGATTAGCTGTGACCAAATCACAGCTAAGCACAAAAAAAAAAAAAAACAAAAAAAAAAAAAGCTGAATGAATCGATTTCATTCAGGTAAATGCTTGCTTATAGCAAAGTAATTCTTTGCTATAAGCAAATTGTGTAAAAAAAAAATAAAAAAAAAATACTGATCACTTCCCCAAAGTAGTACAATGTTACTATGGTAACATTGTACTACTTTGGTCATAGTAAAATATGAAAAAAAATCTTAAAAAAAAAAAAAAAAAAAAAATTTAATAAAAAATTAAATATAATAATAAAAAAAAAATATATATATATATATATATATTTTTTTTTTTCCATACTGTCACCAGTCAGTGTCCCTGTTCACCACCATGCCAGTTATATGGTGATGCTGTACTGCACTGGTGACAGTATGTAAAAAAAAAAAAAATAGTGAAAATAATTTTTTTAATTTTTTTCATTTTCCGAAAAATTATGACAAAAAAATACAACTTCAAAAAACTCGCCATGCCTCTTATGAAGTACGTCGGACTGTCTACTCTGCAAAAAGGGGTCATTTGGGGATATCTGTAATATTCTGACATTCTTGGACCTCAAGAAATTAGATTAGCTGTCAGTACTTCAGGATTGATCAATATTCAGATCTATACCATAGTTTGTGAACTCTATAACTTTCCTACAAACTAAAAAATACATCCTAATTTGGGTTATTTTCACCAAAGACATGTAGTAGAATACATCTCGGCCTAAATTTATGAAGAACAATTATTTATTTGTTAACTTTTATAACAGAAACAAAGAAAAATGTGGGTTTTTTTCAAAATTTTTGGTCTTTTTTTGTTAATTTAGCAAAAAATAAAAACCCCAGCGGTGATTAAATACCACCAAAAAAAAGCTCTAGTTGTGTGAAGAAAATGATAAAATTTTACTTTGGGTACAGTGTTGTATGACCGCGCAATTGTCATTCAAATTGTGAGAGCGCTGAAACCTGAAAAATGGCCTGGGCAGGAAGGTGTAAAATTGCACGGTATTGAAACGGTTAAGGGATGGCCAGACCTGCAGTCTCGGCCTTGGTGGTGTGTGTTTTTCCTGGGCCCTGTATCTTGTTCCTGCATCCCTGTTCCTGTTCCTGTCTCTGTCTGATTCGTTGCTGACCCTGCCTGATCCGGACCTCTGCTGACTTCTCCTGTTTTATCCCTGGCTTGTGACCCCGACCATTCTCTGCCTGACCCCCTGTACCTACCTGCCCGATTGTTATTGACCCGGCCTGCCTGATGACGCTTGCATTATATCTACTGTTATCTGTGGGTGGTTTGGTTTGGTTCGTTTGCACTGTGTTATGTTTTAGTATTGCACTGCGTTTATGTTTGTATTGTTAGTCTTTAATAAATTATATTGTTTATAACTTATCTGAAGCCTGCGTTTCCCTGCATCAGTCACATACCTCTGGTCATACCCTGGAGCCCTGACATTACACCAAGGCCAATCCTGACCAGAAGTGGCTGCACAGGGAAGCCATCTTGGCTTATTGTTGCTGGGAAGGATGGATCTTGATGAGGTGGTGTATTTATCTCTGCTAGTGTTTGATGACAGAGAGTATGCTTATCAAACTCTGAAGGAGTATCCCAGGGATGAACTGCTAGAATGTATACGGATCGCTCATGTTCTAGTAGATCAGGGCACAGAATTCTCTGAGGTGCAGCCATTGATTCAGGTTTGTGCTGAGTTGGTTTCATCTGGTTCCTCCGAATGCAGGGATGAATTTTTGCCGCCATTTAGTGCCGACCAGGTAGAGTTCCTGGTATGGTTATTAGAGGATGATGTGGATTACTTTCTGGAGCGTTATTCTGCATGTTCACCACAGGTACTAAGAGACTGTATAAACGCAGTGCAGTCATTGACCAGACAGGCTTTGTGTAAACTGAGCTTTGTTCAACCCATACTGCAGACATGGTCAGACTTGTTGCATCCAGCCTCAGTCAGCTTACAACATCATTCCTCCGCTCAAGGCACTCTTCCTGCATCCCCGACAGCACCCCCAGTGACTGCCCAGTATACTCTAACTACCACATACCAGTCCTCTGCTCCCACTCGCTGCACCTATCCTTTCTTTAACCCTGTAAAGAAGTCCTCTGTAGCAACTGCTCCCTCCTCTGTTCCATCTTCCAGCTCTTCTCTGTCCTCAGCTGCTCCATTCGTTTGCAGACCTGCGTTTACTTGCAGTGCCCCAGCAGTTAAAACCAGAAAAAAAAGCGAAAATTCTTTCCAACCAGTACCATCCTGCCAGTATCCAAACCGGTGAGCCTGCCGTCTGAGAACCTGCCTTCCGTGGTTCAGCCTGGTGCCTCGGCACCCGCACTTCAGCCTGATGTCTGTACCCAGCCTGATGTCTGTACCCAGCCTGATGTCTGTACCCAGCCTGATGAACTGATCCATCCTGATGATCCGATCCAGCCTGATGATCCTATCACGCCTGATGACCCAGTGCCCGCTGTTGAGCCAGACGATCCGGTACCTGATGAGCTGGTGCCCACTGTCATGCCTGGTGACCCGATGCCCGCTGTCGTGCCAGACGATCCAATGCCTGATGACCCAGTGCCCGCGGTCAAACCTGGTGACCCGATGCCCGCTGTCGAGCCAGACGATCCAGCGCCAGATGACCCGGTGCCTGCTGTCGATCCAGACGATCCGGTACCTGATGACCCAGTGCCTGCTGTCATGCCTGGTGACCCGATGCCCGCTGTTGAGCCAGATGATCCAGCGCCAGATGACCCGGTGCCCCCGCTGTCGTGCCAATTGACTCAGAGTCCACTGTTGTGCCTGGTGACTCGGTGCCCACTGCCTTGCCAGATGACGCGGTGCCCGCTGTCGAGCCAAATGACCTGATGCCTGGTGACCCGATGCCCGCTGTCGAGCCAGACGATCCAATGTCTGACCCAGTGCCCGCGGTCATGCCTGGTGACTCGGAGCCCACTGTCATACCTGGTGACCCGATGCCCACTGTCGAGCCAGACAATCCAATGCCTGATGACCCAGTGCCCGCTGTGATGCCTGGTGACCCGATGCCCGCTGTCCAGCCAGACGATCAAATGTCTGACCCAGTGCCCGCGGTCATGCCAGTTGACTTGGAGCCCACTGTCGTGCCTGGTGACTCGGTGCCCACTGCCTTGCCAGATGACGCGGTGCCCACTGGCGAGCCAAATGACCTGATGCCTGGTGACCCGATGCCCGTTGTCGTGCCTGATGACCCGGTGCCCGCCGCTCCGCCTGGGGGCCCGATGCCCGTCGCCCCGCCTGGGGGCCCGATGCCCGTCTCCCCGCCTGGGGGCCCGATGCCCGTCGCCCCGCCTGGGGGCCCGATGCCCGTCGCCCCGCCTGGGGGCCCGGTGCCCGCCGCCCCGCCTGGGGGCCCGATGCCTGTCGCTTCGCCTGGGGGCCCGGCACCCGCTGCTCCGCCTGGTGGCCCGGTGCCTGCTGCTCCGCCTGGTGATCCGGTGTCCAGCTCGATGTGCCTCTGCCCGGAGTCCTGCCCGGAGTCCAGCTCGATGTGCCTCTGCCCGGAGTCCTGCCCAGAGTCCTGCCCGATGTGCCGCTGCCCGGAGTCCTGCCCGATGTGCCGCTGCTGCCCGGAGTCCTGCCCGATGTGCCGCTGCCCGGAGTCCAGCTCGATGTGCCTCTGCCCGGTGTGCCGCTGCCCGGAGTCCTGCCCGGAGTCCTGCCCGATGTGCCAGTTACCAGACCCGGGCGGTGGAACATTTTGCCCAGCTAGGACTGTTTGGAGCGTCCTGAGGCCGCTCCTTGAGGGGGGGGTACTGTCAGGAATGGACTTGCCAGTAATGGTGGGACCCACCTGCCTTGTGGGCTGCAGTACCAGGGCTGGCCAGCGGGTGCTCCCGGCAATCAGAGACTCAACCCTGCAGCCAGCCAAACACCTGAAGTTGATCATGCAGGTGTATTTAAGGGATGGCCAGACCTGCAGTCTCGGCCTTGGTGTGTGTTTTTCCTGGGCCCTGTATCTTGTTCCTGAATCCCTGTTCCTGTTCCTGTCCGATTCGTTGCTGACCCTGCCTGATCCGGACCTCTGCTGACTTCTCCTGTTTTATCCCTGGCTTGTGACCCCGACCATTCTCTGCCTGACCCCCTGTACCTACCTGCCCGATTGTTATTGACCCGGCCTGCCTGACGACGCTTGCATTATATGTACTGTTATCTGTGGGTGGTTTGGTTTGGTTCGTTTGCACTGTGTTATGTTTTAGTATTGCACTGCGTTTATGTTTGTATTGTTAGTCTTTAATAAATTATATTGTTTATAACTTATCTGAAGCCTGCGTTTCCCTGCGTCAGTCACATACCTCTGGTCATACCCTGGAGCCCTGACAGGTTTCCTCCGGGTACTCCGTTTGGATCCTGTCTAAATAGGGACCTTAGATTGTACACCCCTTGAGGGTTAGGGATTTATATGAATGTACAATATATAAGTAAAGCGCTGCATAAATTGATGGCGCTAAATAAGTACCTGTAATAAATAAATAAATACTACAAGTTTAGGTTGGCATAAAGCCCATTTCATTTTTAAAAGCCCCAGACATTCCTAAAAGCACCTCAGATTTAAAATACGGTTTTGGTTACATTTTTTATCAGGACAAATAGATTGTTATGAGGGACAAGTAGATTTGAACCAGATTTAGTCCCTGGACAAGTAGTTTTTTTTTTTTTTTTTTTTTTTCCTCTTTAGTGCAGTGTACGATATTAGCAATGATCACTGTATTAGTGTCACTATTGAGGTCAGTGTCAGTTAGTGTACCTCCCAGCCAGTGTCAGCTAGTGATAGATTGTCCACCCCACTATCACAGTCTCACTATAATTTGCTGATCACTGCCAATACCAGTATAGCATCATAGCTGCGTAAATATACTGTATATACCATAGTATGTAGATGCTATAACTTTTCAGACAAACCAATTAATATACACTTATTGGGATTTTTTTTTTTTTTTACCAAAGACGTAGCAGAATACATTTTGGCCTAAATTTATAAAGAAATTAGATTTTTTTTTAATTGGATATGTTTTAAAACAAAAAGTAGAATTTTTTTTTTTTTTCACATTTCGGTATTTTTTGTTTATATAATTAAAAAAAAAAAAAAAAAAAAAACAGTGGTGATCAAATACCACAAGAAAGCTCTATTTGTGTGAAAAAAATACATACAATTTCATTTGTGTACAGCGTTGCATGACCGATCAATTGCCAAGTAAAGTAGCAAAGTGCTGAATAGCAAAAACATTCTCTGGTCATGAAGGGGGTAACACCTTTCAGATGTTAAGTGGTTAACAACACTCTATAAACATCTAGGAAACCAGTTGCTGGAGTTTTGGTAGAGGAATGTTGTCTCATTCTTGCATGATATACTGTAGGATTCTAACTTCTCAACAGTCTTTGTCGTATTTTTCGTTTCAAGATGCGCCAAATATTTTTAATTGGCGAAAGGTCTGGACTGGAGACAGGCCACTTATACACCCAAACTCTTCTACTAAGAAGCCATGCTGTTGTCATAGACGCAGCAAGTGGTTTAGCATTGCCCTACTGAAATATGCAAGGCCTTCCCTGAAAAAAGATGCTGTCTGGATGGGAGCTTACTGTATGCTGCTCTAAAACTTGGATATAGCTCTCAGAATTCATGGTGCCTTTCCAGCTGTGCAATCTGCCCATTTCATTTGCACCATTGAACCACCATACCATGAGAGATGCAGACTTTTCAACTGAGCGCTGATAAAAAAAAATCAGAAGGTCCCTCTCTTCTTTACTCTGGAGGACGTGGCGCTCATGCTTGTCAAAATGAATTTAAAATTTGTATTCGTCTGACCACAGAACAGTTTTTCACTTTGCAACAGAGCATTTTAAATGAGCTTTGAACCAGAGAAAATGGTGGAATTTCTGGATCACATTCAAATACGGCTTCTTCTTTGCATAATATAGCTTTAACTTGCATTTTTGCATGGCACAGTGAACTGTGTTCAGAGTGAGGTCCATCACTGAATCCTGCCTGTTTTTAATGCAGTATCATCGGAGGGCACGAAGATTACGGCATTCCAATAATGCCTTTCAGTCTTGTCCCTTGCACACAGAGATTTCTTAAGATTCTCTGAATCTTTTGATATTATGTACTGTAGATGGTGATATATTTAAAGTCTTTGCAATTTTATGTTGACAAACATTATTCTGAAATTGTTCGATGATTTTTAGGCACAGCTTTTCACAGATTGGTGAACCTCTGCCCATGTTCACTTCAAAAGACACGGTCTAAGATGCCCTTTAACAACAAGCCTACAGGGCACTTATACCCCCTTCCTGCCCAGGCCAATTTCCAGCTTTCAGCGCTGTCGCACATTGACAATTGTGCAGTCATGCAACACTGTACCCATATGACATTTTTTTTATAATTTTTTGTGACATAGCTTTATTTTGGTGGTATTTAATCAACTCTGGGTTTTTTATTTTTTCTTAAACCAAAAACCACAGAAAATTTTGAAAAAAAAAACAAAAAATGTTTTAGTTTTTGTTAGAAAATTTTGTAAATAAGTGATTTTTCTCTGATGTGCGCTAATGAGGCTGCACTGATGGACACTGATAGGTGGCACTGATGGGCACTGGTAGGTGGCACTGATGGGCATTGACAGGCATCACTGATGGGCACTGCAAGGCAGCACTGATACATGGCATTGATAGGCGGCACTGACTGGCACTGATAGGTGGCACTGATGGGTGACACGGAAAGGCAGCTCAGATGGGCACTGATATGTGGCATTGATGTGCACTGGTTGACCCTTCCCCTGGTGGCTGTGACTGGCATATTCGGAGGCTAGAGGGTCTACCTGGATGGATGACACCTAGTGGCCTATATGCTGATGACACCTATCCTTGCAGTATTACACATCCAGAGTACCAGGAGCAGGTCTTATATGCTCCATGCGCATTAAATTGCACTATCTGGTTAGTGCAATGTTTGTCTATCTTCACAATCACAAGAGTCACAGTTTTCCTCCAGCACACATTTATTGAATATTTGCACTGAACACTTTATTCATCTCACCATATAACGGACTCAGCATCTTTTATATGATCCAGTGTGTTTTCCATATATGTTCATTTTACTAGCGCTGCATATTTATGTGTTTTATGATTCTTTTATTGGGTTCTTGAGGTTACCTCTATATGCTAGCAGCTTTTGCATTATTCACCCAGTGCTCAGTTACCGATTTTATATAATCATGGTTCTGACTTGTTGCCAATTAACCTGATTAGTTGCAAAATGTTCTTCCAGCTCTTCCTTGTTAGTACCACTTACTTTTTGTTGCCCTGTCCCAATTTTCTGAGACCTGTTGCTGCTATCAATTTCAAAATCACCATTTTTCTTGAAATGGTACATTTTCTCAGTTTAAACATTTGATGTTTTCTATTGTGAATAAAATATGAGTTTAGGGGATGTGTAAATCACTGCATTCTATTTTTATATAGATTTTACACAGCATCCCAACTTTTTGGGAATTGGGGTTGTAATGGCACATATGGTGGTTATATGAGGTTAGGGAGAGTGGTTTCCCATGGACCCATGCTGCTTGTGTCCAGGGGAGATCATCTGTGCCTAAAGGCAGGTAATCGCTTGCTTTTGTTCAGGATGAGCAACTTCAACTATCTGCATCCACATGTGAATCCAGCAACATGGATACTCTGAAGTCAGCCAAGGCTGTGAGTAAAGCCTAACACCCCTTTTTTCTGACTTTTATGTCACAGATCACTTTAAAGCATCCAAGGCAGGGTTGCAGCTAAATGGTGGCTTTAAGAAACTTCCTAGTACCTCCATTTTTTTAAAAATGGGTTTCCTTATGTGAGAGGTGTGCATCCAGAAAGTATTAACGCTTGCCACAACTTTTGCCACATTTTGTTATATTGCAGCCTTTTTCCAAAATGGATTACATTCTTACTTTTATTTTTAATTTTTAATGAATTGCAAAGATTTCAAAACAAACTTCTTTCACGTTGTCATTATGGGGTATTGTTTGTAGAATGTTGAGGAAAAAAATGAATTTAATCCATTTTGGAATAAGGCTGTAATATAACAAAATGTGGCAAAAGTTAAGCGCTGTGAATACTTTCTGGATGCACTGTAGGAATATGCAGTGGGTGATTCAGCATCAAGAACAGGGTAGATTTATGATCCCATTCACACCAGAAACTACACATCTTTCAAGCACTTTTTTTCGCATGCATTCTATGCACATTTTGAAGTGTGTTTTCATGCATGCTTACATGCAGTTGATGCCAGTTTTTCCATCCATGTGTGTCCTGTAAGGTGACTTCCTTCTTTGTTATGTGCACTGCAACACTTTTTTGCACTTATGTGGTGCAGAGAAATTCAACATGCAGTCTTATTTTTTCACTGCACTGTTATAGTGTGAACTATTCTATGCAGTTTGAATGCAGTCAAAATTGCATCCTACTGCATCTGGTGTGAACTAGCCATAAAGATCACTGGATTATCAACAAAAAAGCAGTAGCAGAAGACTGAAGGAATAAATGATATGCCTGGACTTGTTCAGACATGTGGCCAAGGGACAGTAAAATCAGGCCACCCACCTAAACAACGATATGCAGCCACAGGGTTGTACACATGCTACAGAAAAAATTAAACTCTTTGTCCCATTTGGTGGGCAGTACTGCTGCCAACCAATTATTTAATTAATTCATGCAATCAATTAAAATTAATAGGGCTGCAACCGCCCTTCAACTGTGTGCAATGTACACGGTTGTAGCTTGGTGTTTCGACCGTTTCAGGGTGAAACAGGTGAGGAGAAGGTGACATAGTGCCTCCCAACCTTTTTTTCAACCCCCTCTGAAAAGCAATCCACCGTAGCCTATACAGTTGATGTGGGGCCCAGGATTGGATGAAGGAAGAAAGGGATAATGGGGAGGAGGCACTGGCTCTCACTACTGAAGAATCATGGGTTGTACAATGGACCATTATTGATTTATGGTGTCACTCACAAAGTAATGGATATTAGGGAGCATAACCAAATTGAAGAGGAAAAAGATGACTCTCAGCATAGCTATGCAGATCCACCTCTCGACACAGTATACTCTGTCCAGGGCAGTCTTAAGCTGGACATACACTAGTAGATTTTTGGACGAATTAGCAATATTTTACTTTTCATTTTGAAAGTGGACTTCCCCAAATGAAAACCCCAATCGCTGTTAGAAATATGAGAAACAATGTCCATTCTGCTGCTTTGAATTTTTCAAGCACAATTTTACTAGTGTATGGCTAACTTTAGTCACTGCAGGGCTCTCTTTCTCCATGTACAATTACCAGAGCAGATTTCCTCAATATAATACCTCAAAAGGTAGTGGGAAATTGGGTTAGTTCCTGGTTCTGTAACCTATTTTCTTTTTTAAATGAATGTTTACTGAAAGTATACAATAATTTTTCTTTACACAGAAGTAAAAAAAGAAAGTCTTGTAAAAGCAGTAATAAATAGTCATGGCCTATCAGTAAATAATCATGTGTAGCCGCTCCTTGGTCCCCAATGTCATGTGCAAAGCACCATGAATAATCTATACAGAAACTGCACAAAATATATACATAATTTATGAGTTTTTAGCTTTCAACTGCCTGTTTGATTTCAGCTGTTCCTCTTTAGCTTTAAGTTACATTATGATTCCTTTAGTTGTGAAAGCCACAAACCAAAACAAACAAAAATATCAATTCATCATAAAATCACTAACTATCACCAAGAAAACACCTGTGTAGCTTGTACATTTAGAAGGTCATATAAATATGTGCCTCTATTTCCTGTTAAGTACATACAAGTTTTGATAAATAATTGAAATATAAAACATACTATTGGTTACCTCATGTAGAGTTAAGTGCTTCCCATCTTTCCTTTTAGAGTCAAACCTGCCATAAATTGCACTGTACTTTCGTATCTCTTCTTCTTTTCGAGGGTCCTCATCTGTCATTTCAAAGATATGCCCAATCATCTTTCCTAACTTTTTGTTATTTTTTAGCAGTTCCTTCACCTCATTCAAGTCATTTTTTGGTAATGAAGGTAGCATTCTCTCAACACACTCAGTTACAGACAGAGCAGCAGCAGCATCCAAAGTCTCAGTGGTGTCTCTAGGTGATGCCGGAGAGCCAAGGTCAGCTGGAGATAGGCTGTGTTCACTTTCTGTAGTTTGATGACTTTGCCAGTGCCTGGCTTCACTGCTAACCTGCAGTGGGGAACTACACATGCCTTCGGATTTCCCAGTACCCACACTTTGAACGCATGTTGTAGCTGCACACTTTGGAATTTTCAGGTGTGGTTCTCTAGTATTATTGTTCCTTTCGTAACTGCTGGAGTTAAGCCCCAACAAAGAAGGTGATGTTTCTGGAAGCTTGTAGATTGGAATGCTGCTGACGGGTAACGATGTTAAAGGCTGGTTAAAAAGACTAGGGTTGGTAACCCAATCTCTTAAGGCCTTTTGTAGTCTTCTAACATGTAGTGGTTTGCTAGCCATTCCAACAAGTGCCATTATCTCAAGAAACTCATCTTCCCCGGCTTCACAGAGTTGCTGGACATCATCTCCGCCCTGCTGTATAAAGGCATCAAAGTAAGACAAGAGGTTGGCTCGTTGTAGTATCCTGTACAGTTGGAGTTCCCCTAGAGTTCGTGGTAATGAAGTTGCCATGTTTGATCAGCAGGATAACCCTGAAAAAAAGATAAGCCTTTATGTAAAATATTTTACAATTAAATGCAAGTTCTTGCAAACCTGACTTAGTATGTTTTAGTATTACAATTGTATTCTGTTAAAGTGTATGATGGATATTCAATTAGGGTGAGCAAAACAGGTTTCTATTTGGTCAACATTATGGGCAAAATCAGGTCATTTTGATAAAATGCATTGAAATCAATTGGGAATGTGAAATCTGATGTTTTTTAGGAATGCAAAAGGCATTAGATTGCTCCCAAGGGATACAGAAGCTTACCTATTTTTTTTCTTTTTTACTATCTTTATATTACTTTCTAGGTGTACATTGAGGACACCTTGAAAGAAATACAGTGGTAGCTGTTACTGATGTGGCTTTGTTTATGGCAGTGAGAACAGGAAAATTGAATGTTGTAAACTGTGTACAGGGGAATATTTAATTAAACTGTGCTCAATGTGTTATGCTGAAAAATTGCTGAGGATTTAATACTAATTTGCTACTAGGCTAGGTGTTGATATGGCGACCACGTGGCTTTGGCAAAATCTGAAGCTAGTTCTGGCGAACTTTTGGTGTAGGTGAAGTAGAAAATTTAACAGCAAAATCAATTTTTATCCACTTAACTCAGTACTACTATGTATAGGATGCTGATTACAGTTAGTCCCGCTGAATTTTTGCAATCCTACCTTATGGGTAAATATTATTTTTGGATAATCAAGCTAGTGCTTGAGACACTTCTGTTCTGAGGTCAGAGTTTAGAGCTTAAAGTGTTACTAAACCCAGGACCCTTCATTCGCTATGTATGGTCTCTCACAGTACACAACATAGAAATGCAATTATTTTACCAAATATAAACTGCTAAATACTTGTGACAGACCCAACTGGGACAGGGGCTTTTGGAGGGGATTGCAGGCTAGCCTCTTGCCTTATGACCATGGCCCTGGCATCTGAGGAACTCTCCCCTGTGGCCAAGAATGGAGGTTATGTGCACCGATTATGTGGGCTCACTCTGCCAGACTAAAGCATGTCCAGAACAGGTGGAAGTATGGGACCTGGCTAGTTGACTTTTGAGGGGGGAAAATGTGACAGACCCAATCAGGACAGAGGCTTTTGGAGGGGACTGCAGGCTAGCCTCTTGCCTACTGACCATGGCAGTGGCATCTGAAGGGGCTCCATTCTTTGGTGTGTGCCCCAGGGGGGGACCTTTGGAGTAGTTTACTTCGGATTCAAGTCCATGTCTCCCCAAAACACACAGCCTCTGAGAACTGGAGGACCAAGATACAGATTTTGGGGTCTCTGAGCCTAAACTAGCATTGGCTGCTTCAACGCCTCTCCTTTCTAGACTCAGAAACTCTAAGATGTTGTTGATACAGTGCCTTGAAAGTATTCATACCCCTTGAAATTTTCCACATTTTGTCATGTTACAACCAAAAACTTAAATGTATTTTTTTGTGATTTTATGTGATAGACCAACACAGTGTCACACAATTGTGAAGTGGAAGGAAAATGCTAAATGGTTTTCAAAATGTTTTACAAATATATATCTGAAAAGTGTGGCGTGCATTTGTATTCAGCCCCCTTTACTCTGATACTCCTAACCAAAATCTAGTGGAACCAATTGCCTTCAGGAATCATCTAATTAGTAAATAGAGTCCACCTGTGTGTAATTTAATCTCAGTATAAATACAGCTGTTCTGTGAAGCCCTCAGAGGTTTGTTAGAGAACATTAGTGAACAAACAGCATCATGAAGGCCAAGGAACACACCAGATAGGTCAGGGATAAAGCTGTGGAGAAGTTTAAGGCAGGGTTAGGTTATAAAAAAAAAATATCCCAAGCTTTGAACATCTCAAGGAGCACTGTTCAATTTATCATCCGAAAATGGAAAGAGTATGCTACAACTGCAAACCTACCACGACATGGCCATCAACCTAAACTGAAAGGCCAGGCAAGAGGCCCATGGTAACTCTAGAGGAGATGCAGAGATCCACAGGTCAGGTGGGAGAATCTGTCCACAGGACAACTATTAGTCATGCACTCCAAAAATCTGGCCTTTATAGAAGAGTGGCAAGCCATTGTTGAAAGAAAACCATAAGAAGTAAGTTCCGTTTGCAGTTTGCAAGAAGCCATGGGGGGGGGGGGGGGGCACAGCAAACATGTGGAAGAAGGTGCTCTGGTCAGATGAGACCAAATTTGAACTTTTTGGCCTAAAAGCAAAGCGCTATGTGTGGCATAAGACTAACACTGCACATCACCCTGAACACACCATCCTCACCGTGAAACATGGTGGTGGCAGCATCATGTTGTGGGGATGCTTTTCTTCAGCAGGGACAGGGAAGCTGGTCACAGTTGATGGGAAGATGGATGGAGCCAAATACAGGGCAATTTTAGAAAAAACCTGTTAGAGTCTGCAAAAGACTTGAGACTGGGGTATAGGTTCACCTTCCAGCAGGACAACAACCCTAAACATACAGCCAGAGCTACAATGGAATGGTTTAGATCAAAGCATATTCATGTGTTAGAATGGCCCAGTCAAAGTCCAGACCTAAATCCAATTGAGAATATGTGGTAAGACTTGAAAATTGCTGTTCACAGATGCTCTCCATCCAATCTCACAGAGCTTGAGCTATTGTGCAAAGACGAATGGGCAAAAATTTCACTCTCTAGATGTGCAAAGCTGGTGGAAACATACCCAAAACGACTTGCAGCTGTAATTGCAGCGAAAGGTGGTTCTACAAAGTATTGGCTGAATACAAATGCATGCCACACTTCAGAATTATGTGCCACTTTGTGTTGGTCTATCACATAAAATCCTAATTAAATATATTTACGTTTTTGGTTATAACATGACAAAATGTGATACATTTCAAAAGGGGTATGAATACTTTTTCAAGGCACTGTATAATCAGCAAAACAACCTCAGGACTCTTACTCTAATCTGTTCATTAATCGCTTCCCAACCGCCCTATAGCAGATATGCTGCCACAGGGTGGAACGGGTACACAAGATCACACAAATTTATTTATATACAGTTGTGTCCAAAATTATTCAACCCCCAATGCTGTAAAGGGGTTTAGGGACTATAGTGTACATTTGGAATTGTATTCAGAATCAAATCCTACAAGGACGTTGTAACTACCCAAATGCAACTAAAATGACATCAATTGTTTATGTAATACAGTAGTAAATGGTTCTTATGTGGTTTCTTCATTGCCACAATTATTCAACCCCTTAAAGACTACCACTCTGAAGAACAGAGGTTCATACAGGTGCTTTCCATCAGGTATTGAAAACACCTGTGGATGTCACCGAGCAGCAATCAAGCATAATAAGCACCAATTAGGCAGCTTTAAAATGACTGTGATACTCAGCTCCTTCTAGACATTTACTGGTGTGGTTACAAACATGGTGAAGGCAAGAGAATGGTCCAGGAAGACAAGAGAAGAGGTGATTTCTCTTCACAGGAAGGGCAATGGCTATAAGAAGATTGCAAAGATGTTAAACATACCAAGAGACACCTTAGGAAGCATCATTCGCAAATTCAAGGCAAAGGGCACTGTTGAAACGCTACCTGGTCGTGGCAGAAAGAAGATGCTGACTTCGACTGCTGTGCGCTACCTGAAGCGTAGAGTGGAGAGAAGTCCCCGTGTGACTGCTGAGGAACTGAGAAAAGATTTGTCAGATGTGGGTACAGAAGTTTCAGCCCAGACAATAAGACGCACACTGCGTAATGAAGGCCTCCGTGCCAGAACTCCCAGGCGTACCCCCTTGCTGTCTCCAAAGAATAAGAAGAGTCGACTGCAGTATGCCAAAAGCCATGTGGACAAACCACAAAAGTTGTGGGATAGTGTTCTGTGGACTGATGAAACAAAATTAGAACTGTTTGGGCCCATGGATCAACGCTATGTTTGGAGGAGGAAGAACAAGGCCTATGATGAAAAGAACACCTTGCCTACTGTGAAGCATGGTGGAGGGTCAATCATGCTTTGGGGCTGTTTTGCTTCTGCAGGTACAGGGAAGCTTCAGCGTGTGCAAGGTACCATGAATTCTCTTCAGTACCAGGAGATATTGGATGGAAACGTGATGCAGTCCGTCACACACCTGAGGCTTGGGAGACGTTGGACCTTTCAACAGGACAATGATCCCAAGCATACCTCCAAGTCCACTAGAGCATGGTTGCAGAGGAAAGGCTGGAACATTTTGGAGTGGCCATCGCAGTCACCAGACTTAAATCCGATTGAGAACCTCTGGTGGGACTTAAAGAAAGCAGTTGCAGTGCGCAAGCCTAAGAATGTGACTGAACTGGAGGCCTTTGCCCATGAAGAATGGGCGAAGATACCCGTAGATCGCTGCAAGACACTTGTGTCAAGCTATGCTTCACGTTTAAAAGCTGTTATAACTGTAAAAGGATGCTGTACTAAGTACTAAGATTGAATGTCACTTGGGGGTTGAATAAAACTGATAATGCTGTGAGCACAGAAAAGACATTTGTGGTTTATTTCATTATAACTGTTATGTTATATTTGTCTGACCTACAAGTGCCTCTTTAATGTAAATGTAAGCAAGATGACTGAATGATCAAAAGCAATGTCAAACTGGCCAAAACACTCAATTTCAGTGGGGGTTGAATAATTTTGGACACAACTGTATATATATACATACATACATACATACATATATACACATACACACACACACACACACACACAGTCAGGTCCATAAATATTGGGACATGGACACAATTCTAACATTTTTGGCTCTATACACCACCACAATGGATTTGAAATGAAATGAACAAGATGTGCTTTAACTGCAGACTGCCAGCTTTAATTTGAGGGTATTTACATCCAAATCAGGTGAACGGTGTAGGAATTACAACAGTTTGCATATGTGCCTCCCACTTGTTAAGGGACCAAAAGTAATGGGACAATTGGCTTCTCAGCTGTTCCATGGCCAGGTGTGTGTTATTCCCTCATTATCCCAATT